CCAGGCTGGCTTTGAACTCACAAAGATCCACTTTCCTCTGTCTACTCTGTGCTGGGATTAAAGATGCCTACCTGAGGTCACAGTAAAGGTGGAATGGGGGACCACAGAGGCATGGGTTTTGCAGTCAGTGTCCCTCTGCCAACAGCAGGAGGACTTGGTGCCCCCAGTCCTCAGCTGTGTTCTGAGACCTGCCACACCAACCCTAGTGCTCCCAATTCTGTAACCTGTACCCCACATGGCCCCACTGCTCTCCCCAGCTCTCTGAGGCCAGGTAAATTCTGTGTGAAGGTAAATGAGCTCAGGCTGCACTCCTTGGGGTGAGAGCCCCATGGGGGCTGGGAGTTGCCGGGGATTAAGGAGGATTGCAGACAGAGAAGGGCAGCCAGGTTATAGGCAGGAAACACTGTTAGTAAGCATTCCTGGCTAACTGCCCAGCAAGATGTCAGACGAATGGACCCCAGCGGCATGTCTCCAATGATTGAATGTGCTTTCTCTAAACAAACATTCCTCTTTTGTAAGAAGTTCTCTTCCCCAAAGGTGTGCACGCATGTGTAGGCACATATGTGGAGGCTGGAGGTTAATCTAGAGGTTATCCTTTGCACTGTTTTGGTTTTTTCCCTCTCTTCCTTTTTTGCTCTTTGGGGGGGGTCCTCCTCCCAACTCCCAAATAATAAACACACAGAGGCTTACTCTTTCTTATGAGTGCCCAGCCTTAGCTTGGCTTGCTCTTGCCAGCTTTTCTTATCTTACATTAACCTGTACTAACTTGTTTGCCTTTGGCCCTAATCTTTCTCTGTTTTCTGTATGTCTTTTATTTCCTTTTTGTTCTATGTGTGGCTATGTGGCTGGGTGGCCGCCCCCCCCCATGTCCTCCTCCTCCTTTTCTTTTTTCTTTTTTTCTGAGACAGAGTTTCTCTGTGGCTTTGGAGCCTGTCCTGGAACTAGCTCTTGTAAACCAGGCTGGCCTCGAACTCAAAGAGATCTGCCTGCCTCTGCTTCCCGAGTGCTGGGATTAAAGGCGTGCGCCACCACTGCCTGGCCCTCCTCCTTTTCTTGTTCCTAGATCTTTTCTTTCCCCATATTCCTCCTCCTATTTATTCTCTCTGCTTGCCAGCCCTGCCTAGCCTTTCTCATGCCTAGCTATTAGCTATTGGCCAGTTAGCTCTTTATCAGACCAATCAGGTGTTTAGACAGGCAAAGTAATACAGCTTCCCGGAGTTAAAAATGCAACATAAAAGAATGCAACACATCTTAGTATCGTTAAACAGATGTTCCACAGCATAAGCAAATGTAACACATCTTAAAATAATATTCGGGGCTGGAGAGATGGCTTAGTGGTTAAAACTCTGACTGCTCTTCCAGAGTATAAGGGTTCAATTCCCAGCACTCACATGGCAGCTCACACCTGCCTGTAGCTCCAAATCTGACACCCCCACACAGATACATATGCAGACAAAACACCAAAATGCATATAAAACAAAAATAAATTAAAAAATAATATTCCACAACAAAGCACAATCTATCTTTTTGTTGTTGCTTTTGTTTTGTTTTTTTTTTTTTTTTTTTTTTTTTGTGTGTGTGTGTGTGTTTTCCAAGACAGGGTTTCTCTGTGTGGCCCTGGCTGTCCTGCAACTTGCTTTATAAACCAGGCTGTCCCCAGACTCAGAGCCCACCAGCCTCTGCCTCCTGAGTGCTGGGACTAAAGGCATGTACTACTAGCATGCCCCATTAGTGGAGATTTATTATACAGCCACAACTGACAGATACACTTCCCTAGTCCCTTAAACATCCCACCCATCAATCTCCATCCTCTAAACCAGCTGCATTTTCTTAGCAGCATTAACTGTCACTTGATACCTTACTGGCTTATCTCTCTCTCTGGAGGATGACCTTTCTGAGCTGCAAAGTTATTATACCCTGAGCAGGGCCTAACCCACTACAGGCACTCAGGAACCAGAGGCAGGCTGATCTCTGAGTTCAAGTCCAGCCTGGTCTACAGAGTGAGTTTCAGGATAGCTAGGGCTTCACAGAGAGACCCTGATGAAACACCATAACCAAAAGCAAGTTGAGGAGGAAAGGGTTTATTTGTCTTACACTTCCACATCGATAGTCCATCACTGAAGGAAGCCAGGACAGTGACTCAAAAACAGCAGGAGCCTGGAGGCAAGGCCTTGGAGGTAAGCTGCTTACTGGCTTGCTCTCTGTGGCTTGCTCAGCCTGTGTTTTTTTTTTTTTTAGTTTGGTTTTGTCCCCCCACCCCCACCCCTGGACAGGAACTTGCTTTGTTGACCAGGCTGGCCTTGAAATCACAGAGATCCACCTGCCTCTACCTCCTGAGTGCTGGGATTAAAGGTGTGCACCACCACTGCCCAGCTTCAGCCTGCTTTCGTATGGAACCCAGGACCACCAGCCCAGGGGTGGCCCCACCCACTACCCTCTCACATCAGTCACTAAGAAAATGCTCTCCAGGCTTGTGTACAGCCCCGTCTTATAGAAGCATTGTCTCAATTGAGGCTCCCTCCTCTGGGATGAGTTTAGCCTGAGTCAAGTTGACATAAAACTGGCCAGCCCGCAACAAAAAAGTAAACAAAAAAGGGAAAGGAAAAGCCAGACAGGGAGGCAGGCTTACTTCAATCTTAGCTGCTGGGACCCTTGCACTTCTTTTTATGTATTTATTTCTGTGTGTGTGTATTGTTGCGACCCGGGGCCTAGTACTGCACACACCGAGCCACTGAGCCACACGCTAGCACGATTGTTTTTTTCTTTTCTTTCTTTTTTTTTTTTGTTGTTGTTGTTTTCCAAGACAGTTTTTTTCTGTGTAGACCCAGCTGTTCTAGAATTCACTCTGTAGACCAGACTGGCATCAAACTCACAGAGATCTGCCTGCCTCTGCCTCCCCAGTGCTAGGAAAGGTGTGTGTCACCACCACCCTGGTGTGTGGTTGGCTTTAATGCCAGCTTGCCACAAATTGGAATCTTGTGAACAGGAGCCCTCGGCTGAAGAACTGTCCTGGTTGCCCCTATGGATACAGGAAGACTCACCCCCAGTATGAGCGCCACCTTCTGGTAGCAGCCCAGGTAACAACAGGAAGTCACTTCCTTTTGCGTGTTTGGACTTCCTTCTCAACACCGAGTTCACTTATGATGTTGCGGCTGCTCCATCTGCCTCTGCAGGTGCTGGGATTTAAGGCATGCATCCAGGCTCGCCATACCAGGCTCCCTTTTTAGAACAAATTTGTACACTTTTTAGTGTGGGTGTGAGCGTGCACACGTGCGTAGGCACTAGCCTACCCAGCACGTGTGTGGAAATCAGTTCTTTCCTTCCACAATGTGTTTGAGGGATTGAACTCAGGTCATCAGGCTTTGGGGCGAACACCCTTACCAGAGGAGCCATCACACACTCCTTTTTCCTTTCTCTTTCCTTCCTCCTCCCCTCTCTTCCTCTCTCTCTTTTTCTCTTCTTTTTTGAGACAGGGTCTCATGCATCCCAGTCTGGGCTTGAATTTACTGAACTCACTATGTACTTAGGGAATGACCTCGAACTTCTCATCCTCCTGCCTCCATCTCCCAAATGCTGAGACGATGAGCATGCAAACCTATGGCTAGTTTATACGTTGCTGGGACTGGAACCCAGGGCCCAGCTCTTTTTGTTTTGGGGGAGCCTCATACATTTGAGGTAAGCACCATACTGCTCAGCCCCACCCCCAAGCCTGGTTGACCAGATTTTTATACTCTTGCCAGACACAAAATAATTTCCAGAAAAATAATTTGATAAGACAAGAAATCTCTTCCAGCCCACGCGTCCCAATTTTTATTTGTACAATGGTCCCTGTGCCCATAAAAAGGAAAGGACAGCTGAGTCCTGTTCTCTCCCAGTTGTCGCCAGCAGATTCCCAGCCTGGCTACGCGGGCTGAGACTGGAATGCCTTCCAGCACAAACAGTCGGTTCTGTCGGAACCCAGAGCCAGTCTGGGTCTGGTGGATGCTGGCCTTTCGCCCACCAGATGAGTCGTTTCCTCCAGACAGGGCAAGTTGAGGGATGGAGGCCAACTCACACAAGGAGGGCCGTTGGTATTGTGCTGAACAGAACTTCTACTGCCCTTGAGCTGTACCTGACGCCACCAGGCTAGCCTTGTGTTACACCTGCCCTGGTTACAGGCCTGCCTTGCTTCGTTGGGGAGGAGAGAACTGGAGGCCAACAATTCTTAAGTGGTCATGGTCTTTTTGTTTTGGTGTTTGAGGCAGGGGCTCATGTAGCCCAGGCTGACCATGAAGTTGGTGTGTAGCAGAGGATAGCCTTGAGCTCTACTTACATCACAAGTACTGGGACTGCAGATGTAGACACCATAATGCCTGGTTTATGCAGTGCTGGGGATTGAATCCAGGCCTTCATGCAAGCCATCCTCCAACCAAGTTACTGCCTCATTGCACTCAGCCCATGATGTATTAGGAGAGAGGAAGGACCTCAACAGAATCTGGGGTCCTCAGAGCGCTCCCTCCAGACCTCACCTCGTCACTCCCACACAAGGGGGCTCTCTTTGTAGGTTGTTTGTTTGGTTTGGTTTTTTTACTCTTTGGGGGGCCCATCACCCAGCTCCCAAATAAATACGAGGAGGCTTACTCTTATGAATGATGCCCGCTGGCCTTAGCTTGGCTTCTTACTAGCCAGCTTTTCTAATTTTAATTATCCATTCTACCTTTTGCCTCTGGGCTTTTACCGTGCTCTATTTCTGCATGTCTTTTCTTTCCTGATTATTCCGTGTCTGGCTGTGTGGGAGTGACGAGGAGGTGAGACCTGGAGAAAGCTCTTTGAGGACCCAGATTCTGTTGCAGTCCCTTCTAATACCATGGGCTGAGTGGGAACGTCACTCTGTGTCCTTGGCCCCCAGGAGACTCAGGGCAGGGGTAGGCTTGAGGCTAATATCCCAAAGCCCTGCAAAAAAAGGGTTTCTGTGGGTCTCAGGGAGCCTCTTTTTCTTTCTCTGTAACCCTCAACACAGGTTGAGAAAAGTCAACTTTATTGTTTGTGGAAAGAGCAAGGTGGGGGGGAGGGGTGGTAAGAGAGCAGGGGCCCATTCTGAGGTCACAGTCTGTCCTCCTGCCTGGCCAGGAAAGGCGGGTCTGATGATGTGGCATCCACTGCCCATCTTCAAGGGAGAGGGATTTACTCATGGGCCTTCACGGCCCCACCTTCCCAGGCCCCCACCTCTAGCTGTCCCCTTTCTCCAGGGGTCCCCATGGCCTGCCCTGAACTCTAGGTGGGGACCAGCTCTGGCACTCAGTCTCCAGGCCACATCTTGTGGTCAAGGCCTTGCTGGTCAGTCTGTGTAGGCCTGAGACAGACTCTGAGTCCTCCTTAGGGCAGGTCAGGAGGCGGCCTTGCTTGTGGACAAGGCAGGTGCAGAAGACCGGGGCTCACATGGAGCTGTCACTGTTGATACCCTTTCTGGTGTTACTGCTGCTGTTACTGTAGGCCTCTGGGATGGAAAGCCCTGGGGGAGGGTCAGAAGGGTCGCAGCCTCTAGTTAGTGTCAGGTCCATTATCATCAGGACCTTATTGCCCCTCTGGGACCCTGGGGTGCCAGCTGGAATGGTCCCTGGCATCCACCTCCCACTTCGGGTGGCTAAAAGACACCTGGATCCTCTACCCTCCCCGGTCAACATAACCCTTGTCAAACTTGGGCCTCTGTAGGTGCTGGGAACCATGGGAGCAGGGTGGGAAGCTGCCGGTACATGGGGTGCCTACCTGTATCTGGCAGAGGTCGATTAGGGTGCGAACACCTGCCAAGCACCACAGCTCACCCAGAAAGGAGACAAGGATACCAAGGAGGTCCAGCCATCGGCCCACAGTCATCAACAGGATGAAGAGGCCACCCATGCGCACCAGTACCGTCTGGACCTGGCCCTGTAGGCTGAAGCGATGTTGCCGCTGCTCCTCTGCAGGATGTTTGTCACTGTCTCAGCCAGCACCCTCTCGAGGTCAGCTGGGGCCAGCCTGTTCTGCTTCTCTATGCCTTCCCCAGGGACAGTACCACCTTCCCCGACTGCCTTTCCACATCCCGGCTTCCCTCTCTGGGTGCTCACGAGACATACAGCCCACACTTACGTCTCCCCACACCTTGAGGACAGAACCCTTGTTAGTTGGTGACAAGGACTTAAGATTCTCCCCTTTGTGCCCGTGGGTCTGATTCATCCGCAGCCCAGCACCCACCCGGGTCCTAGACACCTTTCCCTCTTGCTGAAGCTCATTCATGGGGCTCGTGACTTCTGTTCCTGAACAAGTTCTACTGGCCTGCTAAAGTGACCTAAACGTGTCAATAAGATGACATGATTCCTCTCCTCCCAGGACTTCCTATGGCTTTTAGAGTAGAATTTGAATCCAAGCCTTGTCTTACGAGGTCAGACTTGATCCGGTCCAAGCCTCACCCAGTCTTTGACCTTACTCACAGGGCCAGGCATTGTGGCTTCTCCTTTTGCACATTGAGCCTGCCAAGCTTCCCCCCACCCCTCTTATTCCTGCTGCCGGGACCACCCTTCCTTACTCAGCCACGCCTCATCAATTCCCAGCCTGCAGGCGGGAGGTTCTTCCATGAGGCCAGATCTGACCAGCCACTGTCTTCCCCTCTCTTGCTTAGGACCCTGCTGAGCTTGGCTGGCCAGTGTTCTGGACCAGGCTTTTCTGAAGGTGCCAGCCTTGCTCCAATCCCTGTTGCCCTTGGGGTAACAACCCTGAACCATTCAGTGTTTCTGCATGGCCATGCCCTCACTCACTCTGTGCTTTGGCAGGTATTGCTGCTGTCCACAATCCCCTTCACCTTAGCACTAGACCAGCCCAGGGACCAGCTATTTAGGACTCCTATGTCACATGGCTACTTTGAGCAGCCTACAGTACACCTTAATAAAGTACAAGTCCTGTCCCTAGACTGGGTGGCTGGGATGGCAAGAGGGGTGTGGCCAATGGAAGGGACCCCAGCCCAGGGACTCTCACCCTGCATGTAGATAACCAGCAGCGTGTAGCAGATGGTGAGTGGTGTCCAGAAACGCATGGCCTCTGACGTGTTCAGGAAGTCCTGGTTGATGAGGGCCACAGCTGCCAAATTACTCACAGCAAAGGCCACAGCCAGAGTGCGGCCCAGGAGCCTGGGCAGGCCATGCTGGCCAGGCAGCAGGCCCAAGCAGACCCCGCAGCAGCGCTGGCTGGTGTGCAACTCATAGAGACTGCAGACGTGCCGGCGGAAGCGACGGGCACCCAAGCCGAGCAGCGTGGCCAGCCCCAGGCTCAGCAGTAGGTTCAGGGTGCGGTGTGGGGCACCTTCCTGTAGGAAGCTCAGGCCACAGGTCAGCCCACAGCCCAGCGAAAACTGACACACCAGGAAGAGCTGGAGTCGCTCCTTGTCCCCGGAGCCCTGCAGGGGAAGGGAGTCCAGGGTAGGCTGCACTGTGGGAGACTGGCATCTCACGGGTGGTTTCTCTCGCCCATCGATGGCTGGAAGGTGATGGATGGTTCAGGGCCTTCAAGACCTGATTTCACACCTTACTCCCTGGTGACTGTTGATCACAGACTAATCATGTATTCCCTTGAGCCTCAGTTTCCCCACTTATGGAGATCTGAGAAGACTCTTAATCATGCTGTTAGGACAAAATGGGCCAAACCCCTCAAGGCACAAGCCTGGACGATAGGATGTTACTTTTTTTTTTTTTTTTTAAATAAAGATCTCATGTGTTCCAGGCCTCAAAACCAATAGCTAGTCAAGAACTTCTGAACTTCTCAATCCTCCTGCTTGAGTGCTAGGATTATAGTAATGAGCCACCATGCCTGGGTTTACAAAGTGCAGGGGATCAAATCCAGGGCTTAGTGTATGGTAAACAAGCACTCTACCAACCGAGCCACACTCCCAGCTCATAGAGCTGACATGCGCATGGAAGAGAGGATAGAGATCTGGATGTGACTTTGGCAATAGAAACTCCAGCTAACAAACTACAATCTCGTCAGGCAGTGGTGGTGCATGCCTTTAATGCCAGCACTTGGGGGGCAGAGGCAGGCGCATCTCTGTGAGTTCGAGGCCAGCCTGGTCTACAGAGCAAGTTCCAGGCCAGGTTCCAAAGCCACAGAGAAGCCCTGTCTCGGACAAAAAAAAAAAAAAAACAAGGGGGAAAAAAAGGAAAGAAAGCAAAGCAAAACAACAAACTGTGGTCGTCTTCATCTTAAGATCTTAAGGAAAAGGGAGCCCCCACAAAGCCCTACTTCCCAATCCAGGGGATGAAAGTGACCCAGACTGGCCCCACCTTGCAGTCTCACCTTGCCTAGGGACAGCACTGTGGACACAGCCCGGAGAGAGAACTCCAGTACCACGAGGGCGGCCACCCGGGCCCCTACCACGGTCAGGAACAGGGTCAGACCAGCCAGGTGCACTGTCTCCAGCGAGGCCCATTGTGCTCGAAGCCGCTGCTTATGGTTCTGCCGCTGGGGGTCACTGTGGGGGCAGAATGGGTGCGGGCTCACAGTGTCGGGTCCCGGGAGGATGCCCAGCCTCTCTCTCAACCTCCTCCAAGAGAGACAGACTCCGTGCATGGATCGACTGCCTGGGCAGGGCTGGGTGGCACCGACGTGGGTACTCACTTGACACAGGCCACGAAGAAGTAAACTTTCAGGAGACTGTTGAGAACCGAGACTCCAAGGGCCCCGATCAGGCCTGAGCCGGGCAAAGGAGAGGGCGAGGGGGACGTTAGGATCGTAGGGGAGGTGGCAGGTTAGCGCAGGGAGAAGAAGCCAGGTGCAGACCCCCCTCCACGTGTAGGCCCACCCTACACTCCGCCCACCGGGGGAGGGGCGGGGCCCGATGCGCATTCAGGAGGCGCTCACCTTGCAGGAGGCTGTCGAAGAGGCTGGAACCCCACTCAAAGGAAGGGAGGCTGGGGAGCCAGGAAGAGAGGGAGGGGAGGGAGAACATGGCAGCCTCCAGGAATCCAGCCCCAGCCTCGGGCCGGGTCTGCGCTGGGATAGACTCAGTGACATCACCGGTCAAAGGTGTCTCTAGACGACAGGGGAGGAGCTAGGAAGGGGTCAAAGGCCCGGGATAGGGGGCGGGGCAGGAGAGCCAGAAGCTTTAGACCGCCCTGGCTGCGGGAACCAGGGGCGCTGTGAGCCAGCTGCTGCGGCTGACTTCTCATTTAGTCCTCAAGGGCAAAACAGCGCACCCTAGAGCTGCTCCATCCCCGCTAGACGTCAAGCTCACCAAGCCTTCCAAAAGTCCCTCTGTCTGCTCTCCTGGCCTTGCCAGACTCAGGTGTGGCCTGCACTCAACCTGGAGTGAGTCAGCCCTCTCCGCTCAGATCTTCCCCACAGCGCCAGGCCCCTTCAGGCTCTGTTGCACCTTCTAGGATCTAGTAGCTTCTATGGAGCGCGGGGAAAGGGGTTTGGAGTCCCCTTAAGCCTCAGGCTGAATGCAGCCTGTCGCCCGGTCACACTGTTCCTCTTGGGTCCACTAAGTGGCAGGCCTCACCGGGGCAGGTGGCCGCTGGTTTCTGGGTCCTTCCTCTTGAGAACTGAAGGTTTGGGGGTCAGGGTCAGGAAGCAGAGGGGAGTGGTGAAAGTACACAAAGTAGAAAACTTTATTGGATTATTCGTCTAGAGCAGTTTTCACCCTTGCTTGGGGTGTGTTTGGAGCTGCCTGGCCAAGGAGTTGTTACTGGGGGCCCTACAAACACACCTTTCTCTGTTCATAATAGTTTCCTGGAGTGTGGTTGCAGTCAGGAGAAAGGGCCCTGCTGTGACGCTGCCCTGGGACTTGCGTGAGTGAGCAGATGCCCTCTTATCTTGACCCCCATCTCCGGGGCTCCCTCTGGATGTATACAAATGGGAAACCCTCACTAAAAGCCTGAACTCAAATGGAAAGGAAGACCTGTGCTGAAGTCCTAACCCCAGTCCCTCAGGGACAGGGCAGCTCCCTCTAACTGGTGGTCCCTGTGCTGTGCTGGCCCTATCCAACATAACTGAGTTTCCCTGTCTCCCTCTCCCCTTCTCTATCCCCTCTGCTCTGCTCCTCTTTCCCCCCCCTCTCTCTGTCTCTCTTCCTCTCTCCCTCCCTCCCTCTCTCTCTCTGTCTTTCTCTCTCTGGCTCTCATGTAGCCCAGGCTGGCCTCAAACTCACTTTGTAGCCTCCTGGCTCTACTCTGCAGGGCCATCATGCTCAGTTTATTCAGTGCTGAGGATGACACCCAGGCCCTCAAGAGCACCGCACAGGCTGTCCACCGACTGATCCGTCCCCAGCCTGATAAAGGCTGGTGTGGCTCCAACAGTAACACTGGGAAGAAGAGATGCTCATCTGAGAGCCCTGGGCTGGAGGTGTAGATCACATGACTAAGGTGTCCAGACCCTGGTTCTAGCACAGTACCACAAATAACAGAGATAAGAGAGAGATGCTAACCCTGCCAGTACTTCCTGGGTTTCCAGGCTTCTGAAAGCAAGAAAATAGGTTTTTGTTGTTTAAGTTGTCAAGGTTTTAGAACTTTGTTCCATACCTGGCCTTGGTCAACTAGAGTCTGGGGACACCAAGGCCTCCCTGTGGCCCAACCATGAGTCTCCTGACACGCAGTGGCCTCTGAGGGATCTGCAGCCCAGCAGTTCTGACACTTCCCTTGCTGAGAACACAGGATAGGGCGGGCAGAGTAGAATTGCAGTCCTGGTTCTGTCACCACAAAAGCCGTGTGTCTCCAGCTGGAGTGACGCCTCCCCTCAGCCTCAGTTTCCTTGTGCTCAGAGAGATTCTGTGGTCACACGGTGGATGGAGGACTGAAGACCTAGTGCCACTAAATGGCTGTACTCACATGCAGGAGTTACCGAGGCAATGCCCTTGGCCCGAGGCATGGTAACCCAGGAGAGAGGGGGAAGGCAAAGGGGTGAATGTCTACAGCCCCTGGCTCACTCCCTCCCTCCCCGCTGACCTGCAGCAGGGCCTGACTCAAGCCCCGCTGAGGGCAGCCAGTCCTACTAAAGCAGGCCACCACTTGCAGCAAATGCCAGGCTTGGTGGTGGGGTGGGGGACAAGGCTAGGTGTCTTGGTCAAGGTTGAGCCTCGCAGACAGCTTCCGCAGCTCATCCCAGAAGAACATGCTTAGGATGGTGTGGGGGCCCAAGCGCAGATAGGCAAGGCCCAGGCCCTTGTAGAGTGCCAGGGGTCCCTCCTGTTGGCAGATCTTCACCAGGCAGTCAGCTAGGCCCCCATACAGCCGGCCCTGGGGATGAACATGGGGTAAGGGTCACCTAGAGAGTTGAGAGGTCCCAGATGACACAAGCATGTCTACTGGCCTATCAGAAGGGCACCCAGCCCCATCCGGCCCGGCCCGGGGAAGATTATAGACTGCAGTGTTAACAAGGAGCCTCTTCCTTCAGGCAGACAGCCTCCTGCAGGGTGAAGCTTGGATAGCGGCACTGCACGTGGGAATCTTTGTCCCGACACTTCCTGTTGGCGGTGCCACAAGAGGCCATGATTGCAACCCTACCCCTTCCATCGACCAGCTGGGCTTCACCCAGGTCATTTGATCTCTCTGAGCTGGTTTCCTCATCAGGAATCAGAATAGAATGCAGTCAAAGGGCCGAGGACATGCGTGTTAATGTGTTGTGAGTATGGTGCATGTCCCCTGGTGTGTGTGTGTGTGTGTGTGTGTGTGTGTGTGTGTGTGTATCTCCCCACATCCTGCATTCCCACGTCCCCTGCTCACCCTGCCAGCTCTGTCCACCGGTTGATTGTACAGCCGAGTGCTGGCCACATCGAAGGGAGTCATGACTGCAGCCACAGCTATGCTGCTGATCATGCCTCCAGCCAGGGTCACCAGCCAGCTGTCCTCCAAAAACCACTGCGGGGATGGCTCAGGCTGTTGACTTTGTCCACTGCCCTCTACTCACCCCTAGTGTGCTCTCCCTGCCCCAAGCCCACGAGGGCTGGAAGGGCTGGGGTAGGGTGAGCAAATCAGACCTCTTCAGCTGTTCCCAGCCCCCAACACCAACCCTGTGTCCCTCCGTGGTTCCAGGGTTCACTGATGACCCCAGTTCTTGTTGGACAGAAGGGCTGTGTCACAACTGCAGTGACAGACAACTTGTCTTCTTCCTCCCTTCCCATCCTCCCTCCCGTTCGTTCTCTCTCTCCCTCCCTCCTCTCCTCTCTCGCTGAGATGGGGCTTGCTATGCAGCAGGCTGTCTTTCCACTTGTAATCCTCCTGCCTCCCCCAAAGTGCTGAGATTACAGGCGAGAAACTGCAACCCCCCTCTCCTTCGTCCCTCTTCCCCCTTCCTCCCTTCCCCTGTCTTCCTCTCGTCTCTTTTGACAGGGTCTCGCATAGGTAGCCTAGGCTGACTTTGAACCCTATGTAGCTAAATTTTTTGATCCTCCTGCCTCAACATCCCAAGTCTTAGGAACATAAGTGTGTCTCACCATGTTCAGCAAGACCAGGTTTTGTTCTGGACCCCAACTGTCACCACCCCTGGGTGAATCCAGAGACACGGGCTCTCCCATTCCCTGTCGGTGTCCCCAGCCCCTTACCTGTCGCTCCTGTACCCAAGCCTTAGCGGAGGCAAAGGTGGCCAGCTGGGCAGCCGAGCCCACTGTGACTCGGGGCACAGCCCCACCCACACCCCGCCACAGCCCCAGTAGGCCCTGCTGGCGCCAGATGGTCTCCAAGGCACCCAGGACACTCTGCAGGGAAGAGAGGGTGGGGGTCACTGGACAGCCACAGTCCCTACACGGCCTGGAGTCCCCTGAGGTCTGGGGAAGATGTTTTACCTGATGCTGGTGCTGATGTCCCACGGCCATAGCGGCCACTGTCTGGGCCTGCAGCTGGGTCTTGACCTGGGAGTTCGGAGCAAATGGGGGGCTTTAGGATAGAGGCTGGGAACGGGGCTGGGTATGTTTGAGGCCCTCTCCTGTATGGTATCCCTGCCCACATCTGAAGCTTGGGGACAGTCTCAGTTTGCTTGAGTTCACTTATTTATTTATTTTGGTTCTTTTTTGAGGCAGGAGTTTCACTGTGTAGACCAGGCTGGCCTCGAACTCACAGAGATCCACCTGCCTCTGCCTCCAAGTGCTGGGGTTTTGGAGCCTGTCCTGGGACTTGCTCTGTGGACTAGGCTGGCCTCGAACTCACAGAAATCCACCTGCCTCTGCCTCCCAATCAAGTTTCTTAAGTAGATGTTTGGGCCTCTGTCCTGCCACTCTCAAGGACATTGTACTTCAGGGGCCAGAGCAGGACACAGGCAGCTCATGCACACAGGCAAATGATGACTAGAGTCTACCTGCTTCATAACCTCTTCCCTCTCCTGGCTAACACCGGTGGGCATGGACCCCAAAAGAGCAAGGGTCAGAGCGAGGGCAGATTCCAGATCCTAGCCAGATATTCCCTCCCAGTGTGCCCCGCCCAACCCAGGGCCACAGAGTCTACTGGTCACAGAGAGGTAAAGCAGCAAGGACACTCACCAGGTAAGCAGGACTTCCCACAAAGGCTCCCAATGCCCCAGCCACAGCGCTTGCGACCACAGTACCGCCTGCTTGCTGAGTGAGGCCAGCCTGGCATGCCAGGCTATAGCAGTAGAAACGGACACCGTTCATGAGGCCCTGGTAGAGAAGGCCAGCAGCCAGCCCCTTCTGCAGGCCCCACAGCCCGTCAGCCCTGGCGACGGCTGCAACAGAAGACACAAAGCCCCGGTAGGGCCGTGGGTAGGTGCCTGGGGCCTGCAGTTCCCCCTGCAGCTGTAGCCGAGTCTTCACCACTTCCAGGGGATTGGTAAATACGCAGGCCAGGCAGCAGGCTGAGGCACCCAGCACCAGGTCCACGGCAGGGGGGACCATATCCCCTGTATCCATGGCAGGAGCCATCTATGCCCGGGTCAGGGCCACGGCACAGGCCATAGGTGGCTGTATCTAGGCTGTCTGCACCCGTGTGTGGCCACAGGGCTGGGGACCATGTCTAGAGGACAAATCTTGTCAGTGACTGGAGGCCCGTTCTCTCTTGCAACTCCACCTGCTATTCAGCAGACTGGGGCTGTGGGAGTCAGGACACACCTCCTCTGGCTCGGGCCAATCCCAGCTGTTGCTGACCAGGCGGGCCTGGACCCTGGGATCTGGAGTAAAGGTCACTTGGGACTGGAAGGAGAATGGAGTGGGAAGAAAGACTCAAACTGGGGGAGGGCACTCCTCCTTGTCCTCTAGACTTCCTGTTCCATCTTTAGTTCCTGTCTGGCTTCAGCTAAAGCCCTGGGCATGCGGTAACCTGGCCCTAGGCATGGGCTACATGGGCTAAGGAGCAACTGTCCGCTTTCTACATCTGCCACAGCCTGTGTAGCTTCCTTTTGCTGGCCTCCCAATCTGGTTCCCTCAGATTATAGCTTCTTTTTTTCTTTTTCTTTTTAAAGTTTCACTTGATGGGACTGGAGAAATGGCTCAGAGGTTAAGAGCACTGACTGCTCTCCCACAGGTCCTGAGTTCAATTCCCAGCAACCATATGGTGGCTCTAATGAGATCTGGTGCCCTCTTCTGGCCTGCAGGCATGCATGCAAACAGAACACTGGATGCATAATGAATAAATAAATCTTAAAAAAAATAAAGTTTCACTTGATTTTTGTTGTTTTGAGACAAGGTCTTTCTATGAAATCCTTGCTGGCCTGAAACTAGCTATGCAGACCAGAGTCGCCTCAAAGTCACAGAGTTTTACCTGCCTCTGCCACCTAATGCTGCAATTAAAGGTGTGTACCACTATGTCCAGCTTTTAGTTCCTTTTCTTTTCTTTCTTTCTTTCTTTCTTTTTTTTTTTCCCAAGACAAGATTTCTCTGTGTGACGCTGGCTGTGCTGGAACTCACTCTGTAGATCAAGCTGGCCTTGAACTCACAGATATCCGCTTGCCTCTGCTTCCTGAGTGCTGAGATTAAAGGCCTGCGCCACACTGCACAGCTTTGATAGTTCCTTTTCAACAAGAGGAAATGTAAAGGACCCCAGAGTCCTGTTAGTGAGTGTTCGTTTCATGTGAGGCTGTGCCTCGTTCCCAGACTGGCCAGGACTCAGTGTGCAGCCCAGGCTGCCTTCAAACTCACGCCGCTCTGCTCGCCACTGCCTCTACTGCCCCCGCCCCGGCCCCCAGGTACTAACAGTACAAGCACGGATGTCCATGCCTACTTTCATTTATTGTTATATTTTTATGTATATGGGTGTTTTGCTTACATGTATGTGCATGTGTGTCTGGTGTCCATGGAAACCAGAAAAGGTGAGGGTATTGTATCCTCTGGAACTGGAATTATACATGATTGTGAACTACCATGGGGGTGGGTGCTGGGAATGGAATCCAGATCCTCTGGAAGAGCTCTCACCACGGTCTAACCCTGTTAATCTTTCTCCAACCCCATTAATCTTCCTATCTTCCTTCCTTTTCTTTCTTTTTGAGATAGGGTTTCTCTGTGTAGCTCTGGCTGTCCTGGAACTATGTAGACCAGGCTGGTCATGTACTCACAGAGACCTGCCTGCCTCTGCCTCCTGAGTTTTGGGGTTAGATGTATATGACACCATGCCTAACAAACCCCATTAATGACAATGCATATATGTGTACATATGTATATATGTTTTAGACAGGGTCTCACTAGCTTAGGCTATCCTGCTTGTGTGCATGTGTGTGTATAAGGGGATGCACACAGGACATAAATGTGTACAGAGGTCAGAGGACAACTTTGGGATCCATTATTAAAAAAGGGGTTACCTGAACACAAATCCTGCTCGACCACTAGTCACTATGAAAACCAAGGGACTATTGGGACACACAGCACAGACACCCTGGACAATGGGATGGGCCATATCTGCAGAACGCACACACTACTCAGACCAGTGCACATATGTAAAACTTCACAACCGCTCATTTCTAGAACCTTCCCTTCCCTATTTTCAAACTGCTGTCGATTTCTGGGAACCATGGATTATGGTGGGGCTGATGAGGAGAGAAGGAGTCCACCCACCCAGTCTGACTCCAGAAGGACGGACGTTTGGGAGAATGATGTGTGAAGAACCTGCTTCAAACAGCACTTCACACAGGAAAGGTAGTCCATGCCCCTCCTCAGTCCACAACTTCTATCGCCTCAGCCTTGCTCACCCAGAACCACAGAGCCCCTGGGTGAGATGGAGTAGAAAGATAAGGACCACTATGAGGGGTACCCTTTACAGTTTCCTTAACAACTGGACCCCCAGGCTCCCACTCTTGATGGCCATGCAGGAAACAGGAAGGCCCAGGGACTTCCAGGCCTTCTCCTCCCGGCAGTGAGGCCATGGAAGCAACAGGGGCGGATCTGGTTCTGAGTCTATGTGGGGTGTGCTGGGCACAGAGCGGACAATGAAGATATTGCGGTAGAGGAGCCCTCCCCATCTCACGCTTAAAGAGGGCCAGTGACAAGTCTCAGCAATATAACGTCAATTTTATTTTTAAAAAACAAAGCCCAATCCATCCGTCCTGTCCCCCGAGGGCCCTAACAAAGACCTCAGGAAGGGCCAGCTCCAGCCAAGCCTGGGTCAGTCAGGTGTCAAAGTGGCCACCAGGCTCATGGGCTCTGCTCTCTCAATCTCAATCTCTCTCCTTCGCTCTCCTGGCAAGAGGAGCCAACTGATCCCTGGCTCCTAAAGCTCTGCTGTATTTGAGGGAGAGGAGAGGCAGGGATGTGGACATGCAGGGCCTCCTGGCAGCCACAGAGGGATGTTGGCTGGGCCCAGGCTGTGTGAGGCAGGCCGCTGTGCATGGGGTGGATGCGTGAGTAGGAGGCATGCACAGATACCCAGTGTTCCCCTTTCCCTGTGCAGTGGGAACAGTGTTCAAGAGCAAACAAGGGGGCCTGACCATGTGCCCAGGCCCCCAGCCCAGGAAGAGGGCACACTCATCCTCCTGGTCTCTTTGTTACCCCTTAAATGGATGCTATTATTCTCATGGCCACTCTGAGCAGATGGTGAGGGTTAAGGTGGTGGCCCAGGGAACGCCATGTGTCTACAGAGCCCACAGGGCTCAACCTTCTGCCCAGTGACCTCTAGTCACTCCCGGTTGGGCAGGAAGCCCAGAGTGCCAGACACCCACTCTGGATCCCTGTCTCAAGCCACGCTAGTGTTCTGCCACCCCAAGGCAGGAGTGGGCTGTAGAGGCCTGTGGAAGCCTGGCTCCGAAACAGCATGGCGGCACACCACAGTGTGCACGCTGGTCAGCCTCCCTCCTTCCTGCCTGCCAGCAGTGTTGCTCAGCCACGCCTCAGCACCAGGGGTCCCGGGAGGCTCTGCCTCGGCAAAGGCTGTCGCTCCGCTGCCAGGCACTGTGAATGAGGCTCAGGGCATCTTCGAATTTCTGCTTGATGGAAGCTTCATGAATCGCCTTGTGAGGGAGGTCAACCTATGGGAAACAAGAAGGAACATAGAGGCTGCAGGCTGCTTTCCCAGGAGCCATGGAAGATCTCTGCTGCCCGGCACACCCCTTCGGGAACATCGACCATGTCCCAAGTTTCCCTCCTGCTCTGTGAACAGAGATCCCCTCCCCCACTCCTGGTTCTCAGGTCTACCTGGAATTCACTGGACATTTCTGCCCTTGACTGTTCTCCACCTCAGGCTCAGGTTAGTGCTCCCTCAGAACCACAGGGAGCACACAGAACAGAACAGAACCTCTCCCTGGGTGAAGTGACAGCACATGTCTTTTACCCCAGGAGCCAGAGGCAGACAGTTCCCTGTGAATTCCAGGCTAGCCAGAGTTGCATAAAAAGACCTTATCTCAAAAACAATCAAACAAACAAACAAAACACCCAACAACATCAAAAAGGAAAACAAAAGCTACTACCTCTCCAGGGCTCTGGGGAGGAGGAGGAGGTCCTGTCCTGTGCATCACCAGGCCCACCATGAGCCCCACAGCTCCTGCTGCTGTCATTTTTAGCTTTGACAAACTAGCTGACACTGGGACTTGCCCCTCTGGCCCTAAGTTTCTGCATCTGTCTCAGAGTTGTTTGCAAGTTGCTGCCCTCAGAACCTTACAGGTGAGGTCAGGCTAAGAACGGCTAGATACCTGGTAGATGGCTTTCCACCCAGAGCTCAGGGCAGTCAGGAACCGGTCCAGTTCTGAAGTGCAGCTCAGATAGATGACCCAGGGTTGGAGCAGCTGTGGGCTATCCTGGGAGAACTCCTAGGGACGGCAGGTCCCGGGTGAGTATGCATGGATCTCCTTGGGTGGCCCTGTGCCCTCATTCCCACCCAGCTTACCAGGACACAGTACTCCTTGCCCAGCTCTGTGGAGATGGCACTGATGTCAGCTAGCCTGGCCGTGCCCAGGGAGCGAAAGAAGCTGGTTTGGCAATCCTCATGGCATGTGAAGAGGCGGTCCTCTGTGATCACCAGGCAGCAGGGGATACAGGGGCTGGGAGCCACCCCCTGGGGTATGACCTGGACATTGGCGGAAGGTGGGAGAGGCAAGTCGTTTCTCCAGGGTGGACCGTCCCAGGACTCTTGTCTACCTTAGCAGTGTAGGGATGGGGGGTGGGGGTCCAGGCTACAAAGTGCCCTGAGCTTGTGTTCATTCTTGGGCTGTCCCCTAGGATCTACCATCTTGGCCCTCCCAGGCTTCTCTGTGACCGGTGTGTTTCGGGGTAGGACCCTAGAGATCTTGGATGGACCAGGCTGGACAGATGGTGAAAGCAGGGACACTTACTCCTTTGGACACAGCCTGGCAGAGATGCTGCATCCAGTCAGCCATCTCAGCCTCGCTGTTAGCACTTAGCTCCAGGCAGGGCCGGTCAGCCAGAATGACCTGAAAGGCGTGGGGCCGATCTGTGGTGTTGGATCTCCGGCAGCCACCGCACTGCTCTCCCCTGAGCCAGAGGAGGGTGAAATGGGGGTG